TTTAAAGAACCAGAACATGAACCAGAACATCGAAAGAAATGAGTGAAAAAAGGAGATTGACTACCCGTTTCCTGCTGACGTTGCGTCAACGAAACACCTGTTTTCGCTTCCTTCCCAACACAAATATAAATATCTGATAAACGGTGACCTTGACTAAAAATATATCATTCATAAAGACGGCAAATCTTTCGTTATATATTTTCAGAAAAAATACCCGGTCGAAAATTTTGCTTAAAGTATAAGATTAATTATTATAAACAAAATGATAGTTGAAGGCAAATATTTTTTTACTGAAATAATCTTCATAATATTCCCTACATAAAATCATCTGCTGGTATAAAATATTTTAGGTAGTTATATTTATATACGCATTTATTTTGACCGTTGCGTCAATGCAACACCAGTGGCTAATGGGTTAAAGGCCTCTGTAAGCGTAACCCTGCCTCAGACGAGTGCTGTGAGATGGTGGACGGTACCACAGGATTTGTAGACATGGCTGTAGTGCATTGAATAGAGTACGTGGGCATCATCCCTCTACCATTACGGTTAATTGGTTCTGCCCACTCTGCCTTAGTATTTATTAATGATTCTTAAATTTTTATATTGCCATACATTGTGGTTGTTTACTAATAAAGTCCATAAAATAATTGTATTCACAGTATTAACATAACTTATTACATAAATTTTGATTGGAGAATTTTCTCTAATGAATTTCTTTCTTTTGTAATTTTCTAAATTTTTAAGCAGGCTATATATTATTTCTTTATTCTCATATGTTATTTACACCATTTCAACTAGAATGCTGTCTAAGTCCTCTTGTAAAATTCCTTTCATTTTGCTGCAGTTCTTTCCTGAGTTTCTCAGTTTCAGGGTTTCTACTGTATTCTGCATATTATACCTTATATATTGTGCTAATGTCTTCGAGAATAGTATTTTTTCTTTCCAAAGTTTTCATCTTTTCCTTTTTATATGTTGCTGTTGCTGAATCCTATCTCTCTTTGATCACACCAAATCAACATGAGTATGCTTTCTTGTAACTTGATTTGCAAGTTTATAATATATTTCTGACAATTTAACTACCAATGCGTCATGTCTTCATAATCGCGAAAAGTCAGTATTTATTTCGTTTTGAGGCATTACATTTTAAATATATGTATGATCTTTTTCGGAAATAATCCTAAGTCAAATTATGAGCACCGAAAATATTGCTTTCTATATGGATTGCATTTTTTTATGTACTCCTATTTTTATATTTACATTTTATTATAACTTGTTTATGAAATATTTACTGCATTGAATAGTCGACAATTATACTGTTGAGGCGGTTTGCGCCTGGCGAACAATCATCCTATCTTGCCTCGCATTTGTGCTCCTTGGCCTTCCAGAGCCTTCATTTCATTGGCAATTCCCTTGTAGCAACCATTGTTGCACAACATTGTCTGTACGCTGCGTGTAGCAGCCTATTGCTCGGTACAATCACTCAGCTTCAAGTAACCCTACAATGCGACCATGTTCAAAGTCACTTAGATATCTGTAAGATCTTCGATATCATCGTAAGCGCATCTTTAGTTGCTTCTTTACAGAATTACAATGATGGCAACAAAAAACGATAAATTTTCCGCCTCTGTTACTGGTTTTATACTTTGCGAATTGTGCACTAGAAATGCGCGTTATAATCGCAATTCCTGTTCATTTGCCTTGAAACCTTGATTATTTGCATGTTCATTCAAGATGTTTTTGCGTACTAAACTTTGTCATGATTGCAAAAGTCCTTCGTGGTGCTTCAATTTTTTTGCAAAAAAAGTTTTTTTTTTTTTTTTTTCAATTTATAATTTTTACTTTTTTTTGCATTTTGTATTAGATTTGTATTTTGTTAGCTTGTCACTAGCTGAAAATTTTAAGACCTATCATATCAATTTGCTTTAGATTTGTCTAGGGTTCTATTTTCATTGTTCTTTCTGATTCTTTTTTCATGGATGTTTTATATTTTTGATTTTCACTTAGCTTATTTTGGTTTATTATGTTTAACTACGTTTTTTTTTTTTCTTTTACTATTCATTTTAAAGTGTCATAATGAATGAGGGATATTTTGTGCCCTTGGGGAAGAGGGTATGTCTCGGTTGTCCCCAAATGCATGATTTTTCTGTAAAACCAGCTCAAACCTTTAGACAGATAGAGTGCAATTTTATATAAATTTAATTTGTATACATTATATTCTTTAGTATTACAGGAGGAGCACAGAAATAATCTTTGATTTCAAAAGAATACAAGTTTAATATTGTCAGAGCTAGACAGCAATTTAGCTGCAATCATACATTTTGAAGTGTTAGTGTAATGCAGTTGACAGCTGCACCAATGCTTTTCTCATCATTTAGGATTGTGGATAGTATAGTTACATAGAACCTTGCCCTTCACCAGCCCCAAAAGACTAAACTTGTACATGGGGATTAAGTCTAGTGATTATAGGGACCACTTGCAAAAAATGCTGATCATTGGGTTCAATTCATCCTTCCATTAGTTTGTCAGGTTATCACTGGAAAGCTGCATATGGATCACAACACTTTATTTTCACAAGTTATAGCTTGTACCAGCTACTTTGTGAAGTAAATGCCATTTTTGACATCACTGCCATGTAATTGCTTAAGTGAGAACTAACAGTTCTGGAAAGAAGTATGTGAAAATCATATTTGAGTTAACTGAGCTTTGAGCAAAATTTCATCAAAATGTTTCCGTAACTATCACATGGCATTTTGAAATCAGGAACTATTTTTGTGCTCGCCCTGTATGTTACGTTATATGCAAATTCAGTTCTTGATAATGTCTTTGAAAGAGAAGTTTAATGGTTGAGATAAAATCGTTTTTCAAAAGTTTACATGTTTGTTTTTGTTGGTGTATTTCTCACTGTATGCAATGCATGTCTGTCATAGTTATGAGTTACAACATACCAGAAAAGTATATTAATATAAATTTTGTTGTCAGTACATTTTGTGACTGTATTTGGTGCTATTTTTCAATGATTTCTAGGAGGACTGTATTAGAACAGCTGTGGCTCAAGCAGGTGAGTAATACAGCTCTTATGCAAATAAACTGTATGCATGAAATATGTTAAACTAAAACTGTTCAGTCTCCAAAAGAAAGTAATTAACTCATTTCTTTTTATGAAGTTATCAGATATTTCTTTTCATTTAATAACTGTATTACTACTTTTAAAACGATGTAAATATTGACTCGTGGCTTTTGGAAAATCTAGTTGTGGCTCTTGAATTTTCCTGAATTCCAACATACGTCTCTTACTGACATTAAATTTGGCCAGCCCTGGTATAGAATGTATGTTACTTATAGCATATTTTTATATCTGTTAAAAGGTTAATTTAGGAGTGGATGATAAATTAGTTGTATTTGTTAGTTATATTTACCCTTTAACAGGTGTCTTAAATTCTTTTTTTAAGACAAGCTTTTTTTTTTCATTTTTTAGTATGAATATTAGCAGAATTTACATTTATTTAATCAATTGCAGATACTATAATATTAGTACTGTTCATATCCTTCTCAAAATGAAATATATTTTATTTTGTTTTTTATTTTATTATTTTTTGCAGGCTTTTCATTATAGTCTTGTTAATCTACCATTATATTGAAATACATAATGTTCAGTAGACGACTGTCTACGTCAGAAAAATTCTGATGCTACATTGTTTCTTGGTTCATTAGGGCCCACCAGCGGCCGAGTGGTAAAATCGCTGAACACTGGTAGTTTGGTCCGAGAATCGAATCCCACGAACGGGCTGGCTGCATGGGCGTTTTCGTGGTTTTCCCCATGTGTAATGTGTATACGAGCCAGTTTCCCTTAGAAAGTCCTCCACGAAGGCATCCCTCCTCTTAGGGCAGATAGCCCTAGTGTGCTTTGCCGTATTCACAATACAGTGAAAAACAGTTCACATGTTTCTCAGTAGTATTGTGGAAGAACCCTGTTGGCTTTGTTTTTCCTTTTAAGAACAAATTATTAATATAATATGTTAATAAGGTAAAAGTTTACAATTAGGTACCGCTTGACATTTGTGGCAATTTTTATAACATCAAGAATGGTGCCAACAAGTAATGTTCCCAAGATGGCTATCACTCAAAACAATGCCAAAAATGTATGTTACAAAAACAACAAAAGTACTCACCTCCTGTGTTCATGATTATGTCTTATTGTCAGCATCGAATAACTGCTGCACATACATAATTCAAATCATGTCCTGAAAGGGATTTTCCTCTCCTGATCCTGGTACTAGCAACACCATATAAACTTTGCAAAATAGGAATATAAAACGCCATCCAATGACTACTGTGCTCGCAAAAGTTCTACTTAATCTGGCTTCACATGCCCTCAGTGGTGTTGTTGGTGTTGGTGCTAGTGTTGGGCATCTTTCTCGCAACAAACACATTCATAGCTATCCAATTGATCTTTACACTCAACGAGACGCATATGTTTTGTACTGACAGGATATTCATACCAAGAACTAATCAAACCTTCATTCTTGCTCCAATCAATAATAGCTTTCTTACCATTTTGCTCTAAATTATGAAAAAAAAAAAAAAAAAAAAAAAACTAGTATTTATTTTACCAGACATACTTCTTTGTGGAATGAGGGGACAATGATTAATTAAAACCAGCTATCTAATAAAAACCAAAAGTCAATCAATGGAGGCCAGAATTTCAGTAATTTAAAATATGGACTAAGATCAAAATACATGATTTGTATTATATGATACACATACTACAAATCATGTAGCCTCAATCACTAAACTAAGAAGTTCTAATCAGATTACACTTAAGAAACATAAAAAAAAAAAAAAAAAAAAAAAATGTGCCATACATTAGGAAGCAAAATGAATCTGGGGACCAGAAACCAGTAACCAGTTTCATATTGGCATGCTTAAAGAACCCCTTTTCTGTAATAGAATCTTTTTTTAAGGTATTATGTTCTATCAATGATATAAATAGAACATAACCTTAAAAAAATTTGATTTTTCATATTTTAATTAATGATATTACTGTAATTTCCGAAGAAACGCCGCGGCGCGTGTTAAACTTAAATTTTAGGGGGCGGCGTTAGGTGCACTAAAAATAAAATATTTCCTATGAGGTCATTGTACTAGTGGGAGGCTTGTCATTGTGCATAGATTGGTGCTGTTCCCACACAAAGACCACCATTGCTTTTTGCGAACGTTATTGTTTACGTTCTTTCCCTTGAAGACTACAGCCTTATTCACCCTAAACGAGATCTCAGAACAATAACATCTTCCCCTTTCAAATCACATCCATATGAGAATATCTCTCTCTCTGCCATTCGATGAATCTTCCAGCACCCACCTCTTCCACCCGCTTTCTGATTTTTTTCAAGGCGGACACGACTCCACCTGCCCGCAATAATGAAACTGACTATTTCCCTTCAGATGAATGGATTTTCTGCATTCTGCAAATACAGTCCCACAGTTGGCAAGTACTGTTGGAATTTTTATTAGGGAGCGGAAAATTTTGAACGTTCTACGGCACAGAAGCTACATTTACTTTAATTCTTTTAGATTCTGGTTTCATTTCCTGCCTTTTTCTAAACTGGTATGTCATATATCAGGACTTAGGGTTAGTTTTTGCATCTATAAGCCACTACGATTCACGCCAATTTATCTAGTGCGGCGTTTACGCTGATGTGGCGTTTCTGTGTAATTTTAATTTTTTTCCCGCCATTTTTCTCGAGTGCAGCGTTTACGCTGATGCGACCTTTCTTCCGGAAATTACGGTAGATGTGATTTCTTGTTGCCTACCCAGAGTTCTTTTATATCTCAAGCATGTTTATCTTAAATTCATTTCTTCAACATGTTGAAGACATATTTAGTTTTGTTTCTGGCATATTACACTACCCGACAGAAAATGCAGCACCAAGAAGGAGGGAGAAGGAATTTCAGGATAGATACATGTCACCGAGTTATGCAAATGATGTGAAATGCACAGTTGTCCAGCACAAGTTGAAGAAGGTATGAGAAAAGGAACTTATAGAATATTCAATTTTTGTTCTGTCATTTCCGATAGGGAAATCATCTTAAAACAAATTTGTTCTTGTCTCGGAGGATGCATGTAACAGCAGAAAATGCCTGGCCATTGTCAATGGAGGCAGTTCCGGCAGACAGACAATTTTATGAGGGGCAGGGTGATCAGATAGAGAAGGGCAGGTATGTCCATACGGCAAATCTCCACTGACACACACCTGGACACGTCCGCAATGCACTGGCTCTGGCGACAGCGATTGGAACAAGAAAATGTGGCAAGTTTGATGGGTGCAGCCAGAGTGATGTCAGCATGCATGGATTGACGTATCTGCCGACACGCAGTGGCACACCCACAAGCCACTTCTACCTCCATTCTGCAGCATGTGCCTTGAACCCTGGATGTTCCCATATCGACCAGAACCATTTGGCGTCAACTGGTGGCTAGTGGCCTGCACTCATGGCATTTGTTAAGATGACTGCCATTGACCCCACATCATAGACGCCTTCGTCTGCAGTGGTGCTAGGCTCGAGCGATTGGATGACGGAATGGCACAGGGTCGTGTTCTCAGATGAGTCATGCTTCTCTTTCTCCAATGATAGTTGCCACATACGAGTGTGGCATCGATGTGCAGACAAGTCCAGTCTGGGAGCAAATGTAGAACTTCCCATTGTGCGGCATCATGGTTTGGAGTGCAATTGCATATTATTCCAGGTCACCTCTAGTTCATATTCAGGGCACTATGATGGCCCAACAATAAAACATTTGCAGACCCTGCCATTGCCGCGTTCAGGAGACAAACTGTGGCAAATCCTTGACAGGGAATGGAGAGCCATTTCTCAGCACAGCATTCGTAGTTTGATTGACTCTGTACCTAGACTTGCTGCTTCGGGTATTGCCATTGAAGATGGTCCTACAACCTACTGAGTTGACTGTGTTCTCACTCTGTATTATGCATAACATTCCAAAATAAAGATGACTTATTATTCGTTGCTTTTGGTCTCTGTTTACCAAGTTTCATTACTTTCTGGCCACTCCTACTTGGTGTTGCAATTTCAGTGTCGGGTATTGTATTTAATCACTGTTTAATTAATAGAGCAGGCCATGCTAAATAGATAGCTGTTAACAGTAATAAAATAATATATGAATTTTTTCATTTTTTAAAATATACATTTTTTACAATTTTTTTAAAATTTATTTTCAAATAGGGGAGCTATGGAGTCCATCTCTAATGGCAAATTAGAATGCAGAGTAACTACAGAAGAAGAATTACTAGAGTTAGCAAAGAAAGAGATTCTTAGGGATACCAAATGTGCATCAATGAGAGCAGAACAGTTTGGAGCCCATAGCTGGGCTAAGCCACAGAAATATGTTCCAAGTAAACGTTTTCTGAAATATATGTTAATCAATGCTTCTAAAAGTAGCCACACAGGAAGATTTAATCCTGAATGGAAAGGAAAAGATAAAAGTTCTAAGAGGACATCAGAAACTGCAAAACAATCTTTTTCTAAACATTATGCTGGAAAAAGTAAAGAAAGGCATTTCAGAAATTATTCTAATAAACAGTCACCTCATCGAAATGAGAAAACAGCTTCAAGACATAGACACAGTGATAAGAAACACTCTTCTAATTTTTCACAAAGGAAGCACAATAAGAGTGAAAGTCAAAATATAGTGTGATAAATGTATTTTAGTTCTAAATAAAACTATTTTGCTTAAAAGAAAGTAGTAGTTGCAAAAAATAAGAATAGAGGAAAAAAACTTTTCTAATTCTTCGGAAAATGAAGTAAAAGTGAATCATTAAATGATGTAATTTTGCTCTGTGATAAATATACTTTTGTTTTAAATCAACAGGACTTTTTTTAAATCGACATCCTTCATAAATGGATGACTAATATTTCAAAAAACAGTATCTCTAACTGGTGGTCCCTGGAATAAGGTCATTATTTTTTCCTCAAGTTTTATCTCCCACTTGGAATGTTTTCATAGTTTGTTTATTTTTAGTTTAAGTAAGTTACTTATAATTGCAAGCCAGCACTGCCTAACACTAATGATGGCTGAAATCATAAAAATGTATTTAATAGAAACTGTATTAATTTATGATTTTTTTTAATATAATGACAGCAACAAAGGATTATTTTGACACTGTATTTCACATTTTATGTATAACATTTCAAATTTTATTTATAAAGGTAACAAGAAATAATAACATTAGTATGATATTTGACTTTGAATTTGAAAAAATAATGCATCAATGTCTGGTTCGATAAGTGGTTGCTGTTCTCAGGGAGTTCTCAAGGTGTTCATCCGATATTCCAATTCTAACTTTACTCTTAGTATTAGTCTAATTTTATTCTTAGTGTTATCTAATGTTAACATGAATAAGATATGAGTGTGTAATGAAGCTTATCTGTCTCTCTAGGTAGATATGGATTATAAAAGTCCAACAGAGACATGGTCAAATTTTTCTTTAAGCTGAATCTCAGATTGCAATTCTATGCATTGTATTTGAAAATTTGCTGACAGCATATCTGTATTGACTATGAATAAAGTCACAAAAATACAAAAATTTATCCAAAAATTTTGAAATCTCTTTTCAAATCAAAGTAAGGTTGCATATTTTTCACCTGCATATTCACTTAACATGTCTTAATTGCACTAATGTGGTAACAAAATACAAGAAATAATTTCTGACACGAATTGAAATAGCATTTGACAACAACACCACTTTTAACATATTTTGAAGCATTTAAAAGTGTAACATCATTGGTAATCCATTACAACTTAAGGATGAGAAATGCTGGAAATACTAATCTTGATATTCTTATCATGGTGATACATATAAACACAAACAATATATCAAAATGAAGATAATAATCATTTTGAGCTCATCTGTGTTGGCAGTGGAGATATTTTGCTTCCCTTAAATAAAGCTAAGACAAATCTAAATAAAATTCATGCTTTATTCCGTAAATTAAAAAAAATAGCTACACGTAGCCTTTACATTTAAAATCTGAGTGAAGAATACCGATTATGCTACTCATAATAACCACACATTCGCCGATACTGGCGTACATTATATATTATATACTCGGCCAACCCGCCGATTTGACGTCATTGGCCATCAGCGCAATCACGTTACTTACCGCCGATTGACCTCCGATCAAAATTTGCAGGAAAAACTAAAGCTGACAATGGCCCTTTTTCTCATGCAAACAAAACTTCACAGACTTACAGAAGTCATAGTTCAATTCTATTATATGAAAACCTTTGACTAAAACACTGAAACATCTAACAAACTTCTTACTTAACAGCAGTCGCCGCTTTTGTAAATAAGTCCGCAGTATTTAATTTACTGGTAATAAATTCAAGGTCAAACACTCTATCATTTACTAGCCTTCTAATGTAGTGATATTTTATGTCTATGTGCTTAGTTCGGCGATATTCTATTAGCGATCTAGAAAAATCAATGACAGACTTGTTATCATAAAATAGTTTACATTCTCTTAAATTAAACTCTAAAATTTCATCTTGGAAGACATTTTTCATCCACATTAATACCTTCGCTGCCTCCGATAAGGCGATAAACTTGCACATTTTTGTTTAACAGTTTTTCAGATTACTGGTACTTCATCTAAATATAATATAAATCCTCCCATGGACACGCAGTCATCTCTATTACCTCCATAATCAGTATCTGTATAGCAATGTAAATTTAGATGTTTAATCTTCCATAAGTTTAACTTATATAATTAAATACTATTGAGATAACTAAGAAATTTCAACAATGCTTTCCAATGCCTAATTCCAAGATTCTCCTGAAATTGTGATAAGATATTCACTGTATATGTAATATCGGGCCTTGTCCTCTTAGCTGCAGAAACTAAACATCCGAACAGATTTCTAAAGGGTAATGTATGCATTTCCGTAATTTCTCACTTGTAATGGAAATCTAATTTGTAAGAATAGTGCCTTTAGCTTAAAGTGAAGTTATTGGTATCTGGAAATGTTTATTTTTTTAAAAATTCCGATATATTTTGCTGATGTTAAAAACCCCATTCTCATTCCAAGATTCATTCCAAGTAACGTTTGTTTTTTGCCTATACTTTAAAATAAAAAAACTTACTCAGCTGTGAATTATTTATCTATCTATATTGATTTATAAATCACAATATCATCTACATATAACAAGAGAATTACATTTGAACCTTAAAACACAATACACCATGTATTTCTTAAAATATTAGATTTTCTAAAGTACTTTCAAAATTCAAAACCATTCACGACGCTTTGATGTAGATTAATGGCCTTGTGTAATAAAACCTTTTTTTCTATTCAATAAATCCCTCTGTTGGGTCATTATTTTTCTCATTTAGTTTGCATTAACTATGTGTTCTTTCATCTAACTGACAATTATCCATCCCTATAACATACCAGCACAGTGAAAATATTTATGATTGAAAAATTTATGACAGACTGTAAACGTCATCAAAATTTCACCTCTTTTTGCCTGAACCCTGTGCTACTAAACTGCTTTGTATCTACACTGATTAAACACACTTATCTAACCAATCCATTTATTCGATTGCCTACTTTTACTGCAAAGTGACGGTACCTTTCCGAGTACTTTACTTTCACAATTTGCTACATCTAAAGACATACGTATTTTTTATTCTTCAAAATTGTCATTAAATTTTCTATTATTCAGAAATGAGTTGTACTACAGTATCTACGACCCAATTAAATTTGTCTGCGTTACTCCTTTCGTTTACTAAATTTTACATTAATTCTTATTTTAAACTGTCATTTTCGTCTATTTAAACTTCTGATTTTACTTAATTTTCTTTACATTGAGCGTTAGTGCTCAATTATAATTAACAAGGTCATTCTCATATTCCCCATTTTTTTCTTAGATTTAGTTTTTTTTCAACTCTATCTTCGCCTGCATTTGAATAGAGTATTAAACACATTTCCTTGCTGTCTTCAATCGGCATTACCTGCGAAGTCAGCTTTCTTCCCTTCCAGTTTTTCAGCAATTCTTTCCAGCTTAAAATCTTCGTCCTTCCACTTATAGATCAACTGTACAATGCCGAAGTATTCCTGGGGCTTATTGCTCCTTATTGCCTGAAATCCTTTAAAAATCTGCCAGTGTGCCAGCTTCAGCAACTCTTGCAGTCTTCTTATCGGTGATTAATAATCTATTTCTCATTGCGTATATCTAATATAAAAAATTCATCCAGTAACTGATTATCCTGCTTTGTTTGGTTTCTAATTGCTGTAGAACTCCATGCTTCTTACCACTTGAACATTTTGTATCAGCGGCTGAACTCAGTTTAATCCATAATAATGTAGTGAAGGCTCTATTCTCTTAGTGTGAATCTGCTTTCATACCTTGTTGCACTTTATCTATTCTTCTTTATCCTCTATGAACCAACATTCTATCAGTAACAGCATTTTCATATCGACTTTCATCGATCCCAGTTGTCATGGTTTAACAGCTCAAAACCTTAGTAGTATGTCATCTTCAATTAAGTGTACACAAAACTGAACAAATAAAGTAACAATTTGATGTTGTTGGCGCTGGGCCATAACCCTTTTTGGCACGGCGATAAAGGCAAAGCATATTTTGCTCCCTTAAAAAGCTAAGACTAATTAAATAAAAAGCATGCTTTATTCGTAATTAAATAAGCTAACCTTAGCCTTACATTAAATCCTGAGGAAAAAACTAGCATATGCTAACTCATATACTACTCATTCGCGTACTGGCGCAATAATACTGGCCAACTGCGATCTTGACGTCACGGGTCAATCAGCGGCACCCGTTACTTATTGCCGATTGACCCCGATCAAATTTGCATGGGAAAACTAAAGCAACATCGCACCACCACTCTGCTCGAAACTCATTTTATTTTGCTCCAACCCGAAACATCAAATTAGCTTTTCCTTCCATGTTGACAGTATCGAACTCCGATTCCAAGAAGTAGTCAAGTTAACACCAAGTGAGCATCTGTACTGCCAGAAGGCTTTTATGTATTTCTGCTTACTAGGTGGAGGAAACTATTGGTATTTATTTAAAAATCAAAAGTTACATAATTACTTCCCGAATTTACAGTATACAGAGTTCTTAAATATCATTCTTAGAATATTGAAAAGAAATAAAGAAAACAGTATACAGTCAAAAGTCTTTAATCTGGACGTCCATAATCCGGACCTCAAAGCTAAAAACCTTCTGCGCAGCGTTTAATGTATAACGGACGGTAATAAGCTAGCTAAAATTATCTACGTATCTATTCAGTTAATGTTGCAGATTGCGTTGTTCCTTAATTTCTAATTGGATCCGGCTTATTATTTTTGCAGACTGTTAGAGCAATTTTTAAAATAAGCTTGAACTTTCGATTAAGTCAAAAAGACTTTCCGATTCTGGAGCTGCCAAAGGATCTACAAAGCGAAAGCATGTTTCGATGTCCATCAAACAAAAAGTAGAATTGCTGCAAAAAATGAAAAAAGGCATATCCTTTGTTTCTCTAACCATTCTGAAATCTGGTTATCAACTTCACGCTGCTCTGTGTGTGTGTGCGGGGGGGGGGGTGGACGCCGCGGCCCGTGATGAATTGGAAGTTGATCTGTCAGCACTATCCTTATCTTCAGGGCAGATGTTTTTATGTTATTTGGCTTAGAATTCCTTACTAAATGTAGTATTTCATCTCGATGTACTCAGTCTTTGATATGATTTAAATCATATTCCTCATCATTATAAATATTACGAATACACATCAAATAGTTTTCTGGTTGCAACTTTCTAATTTCGACTATGCGTAATGTATGCTTTACGCATGCGCGCGTTGAAAGAAATGTTTAATAAAGTAAACAAATAAATATTAAGCATTTTTTTGTAAAATTTGATACCCTTTAGATCATAATTGCTCTTTATTTCATAAATTACGGTTTCATATTTTTAATTTTATAATTTTTGCATGCCATCTTACCAGATTTAAACTGATGATCTATAATCCGGAATTGCCAAAGTCCCGACAAGTCCGAATTAAAGACTTTTGACTGTACTAGCTGCTGTCATTAGATTATGCTGTGTTTAACAATACATGAATTGAGGGGGGGGCGGAAAACATTTTGCGTTGTGGCCCTTGGGCTTGCTTTTGGATACCCCTGATCTAGATCATTGTTTTCCATTATAGAATGAAGTACCCATATGTCAGCTTGAAAGTGAATCACACTTTCTATAAATGACGAAATGCAGATGAATTGTTAATCTAAAGTCTCTCAGCTATCTCTGTTGAGTAATTTCCTTCTAAAGACTTATGATGTCATTTATAACAGCTGTCCGAAGTAGGATTTTTCAACAAAATTACAATTTCAAACCAGTCTTTTAGTTTGCTAACAGCAGAAGACCATTTCAGATAAACATAGCGGAAAAAAAGGGGGGACAGTTCTGTACCTTCCATTCTACTGGGCTGATTGACAAAATTCAGTTTGCTAACAGCAGAAGACCATTTCAGATATACATAGCGGAAAAAAAAGGGGGACAGTTCTGTGCTTTCCATTCTACTGGGCTGAT